AAGAGATTTAAGGCATATATGGCATCCTTGTTCTCAGATGAAAGATTACGAAGATATGGATGCGTTATTGATAAAAAAAGCAAATGGTAGTTATATTGAAATGCATAGTGGCAAAAAAATTATAGACGCAATTTCAAGTTGGTGGTGTAAATTACTTGGACATAATCACCCATATATTAAATCTAAAGTGATTGAACAAATTAATAAATTTGAACATGTAATTTTTGCTGGCACTACAAATGAAAAAATTGTGGAGCTATCTGAAAGATTAGCTGCTAGGAGTAGAAATTTGCAAAAAGTGTTTTATGTAGGTGATGGTTCTTGTGCAGTAGAGGTTGCACTTAAAATGAGTTTGCATTCAAGAAAAATTAAAAAACAGCATAAAAAAAATAAATTTATAGCACTTAAAAACGGTTATCATGGTGAAACAGTTGGCGCTCTTAGTGTGAGTGATTTAGGTATATATAAGAATCCATATGATAATTTATTATTTGATGTACATTTAATTTCAGATATCCCATATATAAATTCAAAAAAAGATTTGTTATGGGATGATTGCAGTAGTTATTGGTATAAAATTCAAGAAAAATTAGAAAAAATTAAAAATGAAGTTACGGCTATTATTTTTGAACCTATTGTTCAAGGAGCTGAAGGAATGAAAATATATAGCAAAGATTTTTTAGTTAAATTAAGAAAATGGGCATCTGAAAATGAGATACATTTAATTGCCGATGAAATTATGACCGGAATCTGTAGAACTGGTAAGTTTTTTGCTTGTGAATATGCAGATATAGAGCCTGATTTTATGTGTTTATCTAAAGGTTTAACATCAGGCTGGATACCGTTCAGTGCTGCTATGATTAAAGATGAAATATATGATATCTTTTACAATGATTATTCTCCAGAAAACTCGTTCTTACATTCTCATACTTATTGTGGTAATCCTATTGCAGTAAGTGCAGCATTAGCAACATTAGATGTGATTGAAAATGATAATATTTTAGCTAAAGTTGATATTTTAAGAAAGTAAAATGCTGCATTTGATGAAAAATATAGCAGTTAAAACTGGTAGATTGAAAAATGTAAGAGGTATAGGAGGTATTATAGCAGCTGATATAATTATTGATAAAAATGATAAATATAAAAGAATAGGCTTAGAAATTTATAAAATTGCAATTAAAAATGGGGCTTTTTTACGACCTTTAGGTAATACTTTATATTGGTTGCCACCAGTTAATATTGAGGATCATACACTCCAAGAATTAGCTCAAATAACAAAGCATTCAATCATTACTTGTTTTAAATAGAATAAATTTAACATAATATAAATATTTGGGTAGAACTGATTTTAACTCAGTAAATTCTTTCATTTGAAAATTACTATATATTGCAATATTTTTATGCTATTTTACATTTTAAAAAATTGCAGTATTTAAATAATTATTTATTATTTTTATGGAGTTTATTAATAAAAAAAGAGTTCTATTGGTAGATGATAATCCCTATATATTAAAGGTATTATCTATGATGTTAGAATTAGAGAATTTAGAAATTGAAACTGCTAATAATGGAACTGAGGCTTTAAATTTAATAGTCAACGAAACAAAAGGAAAATTTGATATTATAATAACAGATTTTCAAATGCCTATAATGGATGGTCAAGAGTTTGCAGAAACTCTGAAAAAATATGATGAATACAAAAATCTCCCAGTAATTTTAGTTACTCAAGCAAATCATATAAGCTACGAGAATGATGAGAA